ACTCTTTTTATAGCTCCCAAAGACTGTACACTTGTACCAGACATACTCTCCAGGTGACTGCATAGGCAACTTCAGCTTGGTTTTCATTGACTTTTGCTGGTGTGTCCTGACGCATTAAAATAAACTATATGAAACTGCTGATATTCAACCATTTTTTACTTACACACTCATTCCATATGCTTCAACCTAAAGGAACACTGAAGGAGGTGGCACAAGTGCTGTTAGGTATCCTTCAAGGGTGCTATACCAATGCCCATGCATGTCAAGTAGGGCTTGTCCTGGATGGTCCACCCAGAAACCTATGTAAAGTTTGCTATGAAGACTTTTTTTTTTTTTTTGAGTTGGAGTCTCACTCTGTCACCCAGACTGGAGTGCAGTGGCAGCTCCCGGCCACCGCAGCCTCGACCTGCTGGGCTCTGGTGATCCTTCTGCCTCAGCCTTCCATGTAGCTGGAACTACAGGCGCGCGCTACCACAACCGGCTAATTTTTTGATATATTGTAGAAATGAGGTCTCACCAAGTTGCCCAGGCGGGTGTCGAACCCGCGGACTCAGGCAATCCACTCACCTCAGCCTCCCAAGGTGCGGGATTACAGGCTGAGCCACCGAGCCCGGCTGAATATCTTTTTTTATAACCAAACCCACACGTAACTACAGAGGATTATCAGCTAGGCTGCCTTTTTTTAAGGAAGAGCTTTCAAGACTTACAATATCCCTTCAGCTAACATTTGCAAACATTGTTAATCACAGATTTGGGAAGAGAACATCTGTTCCTTTGGTGAAGCAAGTTTTTTTGCTTGCTTTGCTTTACTTGCTTACACTATTTCGAATAGGTGGATCTAATCCTCATTCAATGGAAAACCCCCAATAAAAAAGGACCACTTATTTAATTCTACATTTAAAAAATTATATTTGTTTATAAATAAATGAAAATGAAGACTTCGTTAATTCCCATTGTTCACTTTTCATAGGAGTTTTCTGAATCATTTCTGGAGGCAGCATATTTTACAGCACTGCCATAGTCAGTTCAGGCTGCTATAACAAAATACTGTAACTTTAGACTGGGTTATCTATAGACAATAGAAATGTATTGTTCACAGTTCTGGAGGCTGAGAAGCCCAAGATGAAGACACCAGCAGATTCAGTGTCTGGTTGGGGCTCTTTGTTTAATCAACAGTGCTTTGTTGCTATGTCCTCACATGGCAGAAGGGGCAGACAGGATACCTCTTTTATAAGGGCATTAAATCCCATTCATGAGATCAGAGCCCTCATGACCTAATCACCTCCCAAAGTCTCCACTTTTGCGGTTAGAATTTCAACATATAAATTAGGCGGGGGGGCAGGGACACAGGCATTCAGACTATAGCAGGCACAAAGCAAAGTAATTCTAATTTGAAACACTTAGGTTTGATTTCTGATGCAGCCATTTATAACTATAAGACCTTGAGTTACTTTGCCTCAATGGTCCTGACTGCTGATAATGATGCCACTTTTGGTATTTTGATAGAGACAAATGTGAAGCCTGGCACAGTAGGCACTCATAAGGTCTATGTTAATGACACTACCATTAGAATTCTTGTCCTAACAAACAATGAGAAAATGATGGAGATAAACACCATCAATACCTGTATCTCTTTCTTGTGGAAATGCCCTTTCATAAGCTACCAGAGATGATCGTATATATATATATATATATTTATCCTAGAGATCTTGCTCTCTACAGTTGATAATGTGTATAAGTATATAGATGCAAAAGTATGTGAAGCCTTCATATAAAACCAGAAAAATATACACTGCCTCACAAATATGTCAGTGAAATTGAGGTCCTGTTTTAGAAGGCTTGCCTCTTCTCTTTCACTCTGACCTAAATAGAGCTCAAACACAGTAGCAGTAGGATGGGAGATGGCATTATGTTTATTGCTGTCATAAGTAAAAAATGGATACTAAATTATGGTAGAAAGATAACTTTAACAGTTTTATTTTCCAGGAGATGCTCTTTCCTTTCTTAATGTGGGAGTGGCAGTAGTCTGATTGGTCTTGATGTCTGGGGGAAGCTGCAGATTGCATTTTGTTTTCATTCCACAAATGTTTGTTGATTACCAAGTGCATGGTTGGATGGTGGAAGGGGTTACAAAGATGAATAAGATATCGTTCTTGTACTTGAGAATGTTATAGTTCAGTAGGAGAGAGAGACTCAAGAATCTATGATTAAAGTATTGCATGGAAGTGAAACAGCAGAAGTGTATCATGGTTTGCCCAAGCTGGTGATGATAAATTCTTGATTGGAGACAGCTCTTTCCAACTCTGAGTTCAACTCTTTCTAGAATTATGGGAGAGGAGGGAATATTTTCACCATGGGAAGTGGCAAAGGCTACTGCAAATTACAAATCATGGCTTTTTTTTTTTTTAAGACAAGGTCTTACTCCATTTGTTGCTCAGACCGGAGTGCAGTGGTGTGATCCTAACTCACCACAACCTCAAACCTGGGCTCAATTGATCCTCCTACTTCAGTTTCCTCCATAGCTAGGACTACACGCTTGCACCACCATGCCTAGCTAACTTTTTTTTAAATTGTGAAGATGGGGTCTCATTGTGTTACCCAGGCTGGCCTCCAACTCCTGACTTCAAGTTATTCTCCCATCTTGGCCTCCCAAAGCATTGGGATTACAGGTGTGAGCCACCATGGCTGGCCTTTCTTTGTTTGGTTTTTGAGAGCTGGCCACCATGGCTGGCCTTTCTTGTTTTGGTTTTTGTTAAACATTTAGCTGAACAGCACTGGATGTATATAAACTACTTTATATATGTAGAGGAAGAAAGCGATTACATTTTCTTGGGGCATCTGAGGAAACCTTGAAAGAGTGGTGACATTTGAGATAGTTGGCAAGTGGGTCAAAGAATAATAAAAATGGGGGGAAAACCTTTAAAAGGGCACAGTCCTTGAGAGAGGAAGTCCAAGTGCATATTTACCTTCAAGGTGATGAAAGCAGAAGGCAGATGCAGTTCTGAGACATGTCTACTGAAAGGGCTAGATAGATAGATGTGCCGTGGGATTCAACTTCAGTGCTATTTAATGGCAGCACCCCTGGGGAGCTTCCTGCATCCTGGGTAGGGGGAAAATTAGGGCAGGGATAAGTGTATAATTTCTCAAAATGAATCAGAGTCCTTTGGCAGTTGTATAAAATGCTGATTTCCAGGCTCCCCAGTAAATCTACTGAATCACATCGCTTTGCAGCAGGAACCTGGAAGTTTGCATTTTTAACAATCTCCCCAGAAGTTTCCTTTCACCTTCAAATTTTAGAACCAACCTTTCTATTCATGGTTTTACCACCCAGGGGACATTTGGGACTGTTGGGAGACACTATTGATCATTACTACTATGGGGATGCTACTGGCATCTAGTAGGCAGAGTTCAAGGATAGTGCTCAATAGCCACAGGACAGCTACCATGACAATTATGCTGCCCAAAATGTCAGAGGGTCTAGGACTGAGAAACCCAGATACAGATCAGAGTGAAGAACTTTGAAGTAAGTACAAGAAGTGGACTGAAGTCAGCTTGCATCACTAGCTACATCCTTAGATTGCTCAGGTGGGGGACTAGGATGGGTTATGGACTTTTAGGTTCAGTCATTGAGCTGCCACACTTTCAAAGAACTGGGCAGAGCTCACACATATTGAACCCATGCAGATGACACTCCTGAAGCCACCAATTCATTATGTTAAGGTGTTTTTTTCCTCTGATACCAAAAAATCTAAATATTTATTGAATTGTTCTCATAAAATTATGATCACTTCTCTGGGGGGGGAAATATGCCACTGATTCTACACAAAGTGGTCTTTGCTCAATGTGCACTTTCTTGAAATCCAACAGGTGGATTTGCATTGAAATTATATTCGCTAAGAGTTGAAAAGAATTGTTGCTTATATGGAGTTAAGAAAGCAAACTTTGGAAAACTATTTTTGAGTCTGAGCTTAAGTGCCTAAGAAGCCAGCTAATTCCAGCTATCCTGCCACCCGCAGAGATGAAGTCCAGCCTGTCTCTGATAATAAATTTAGCAAGCCGGGCTCGGTGGCTCAGCCTGTAATCCCGCGCCTTTGGGAGGCTGAGGTGAGTGGATTGCCTAGCCCGCGGGTTCGAGACCTGCCTGGGCAACTTGGCAAGACCTCATCTCTACAATAAATTTAAAAAAAAAAATTAGCCGGGCGTGGTAGCACGCGCCTGTAGTTCCACCTACTTGGTAGGCTGAGGCGGAAGGATCGCCGGGGCCCAGCAGGTCGAGGCTGCGGTGGCCGGGAGCGGCCACTACACTCCACTCTGGGCGACAGAGTGAGACTCCAACTCAAAAATAAAAAATAAAAATAAAAATTCAGCAGACAATTTGAAAGGTAGATAAACTTATTTTAAAATTATTTTCCTGAACAATACATCAGTGTTTATTGTTCCAACGACAATATGGTTATCTGAAATTATGCCTTGAGCCATCAGTAGATGAAGAGTCTTGTTCATTTGCTGCATTTCAAAAGATTTGTGTGCACATTCCCATTAGGATTTATTTTTCCTAGACTGTATAGTTCATCAATATGGAGATGAGGTTTTCTTTCTGGATTGTATGTTTTAGTTAAGGTGTTACACATAATTTGGCTTCCTTCTCAGTGTCTTTGCAAAAGCAGGGCTTCAGCACAAGATGCCCTTTTAAAAATACCCTTAGGTGCTGAGTGTTGAACTTTTCTGACTGAAATAATTTTGCACCTTCCAAACATTTTAATGCTTTTAGGGAGCTCTTAAAATGCAAGGATTTAAGGCCCTTAGCTAGTTAAGCTTTTAGCAGACTCAGAGTTGTTAGATAAGAATAGAATTCATTCTTTACTTTTGGAGCTTTGGACACTGTTTCCAGCTGCTTCCAGTCATTTGAATCCTGAAAGCTCTCCTAATCCTCGCGGAGGCAGCCTTTCTGGCTCCCAGGACGCAGCCTTTCTGGCTCCCAGGACCCACCCCTTGCTCCTGATTGGTGAGGCTCCTCCGCGGCCCAAGCCAGCCACCTACGACGTCTCTGAGAACTGATTTGAAATAAGAGCCAGGCGGTCCTCGACTCCCTGCGACCGACTTTTCATAGGCTGGGGGAGAAAAGGCTGAGAAACTTGACATTGTCTCTGGCACAGTACGTGTAGCAACAGATCAAAGAAAAAGAGGACGAAAACGTGCTCTTTGCTGCCTGTAGATTTCTTCGGGTTGCTTTTGTCTTGCGGGCTTCTGTTGGGTTTGGCGTTTCCTCTTTGAAGACTGCGGCGTGAGCTCCGATGCAGCTCGCTCCCTGCCGGATGGGTCATGGAACTCTAAACATGAGGCAGGTAAGCTATGGGCGGCTGCACTGGCGGCGGAAGGAGGGCGCCGCCTGAGACCTCTGCTACCCACTCGAGAGAGCTTGCCGAGTTAGCAGATGCCTGGCCAAGTCGATCCAGTAGGCAGAAAGACGGGTCTGCATTTTCCTAATGCAACCACGGAAGCAGATTACCTGAGCTACCCACAGCCACCCCGCTCCGCTCCTCGCCACTCGCCCCCACTTTTGCCTCTAATAGTGGTTGGTGATGTCAGGCGGTCATTGTAACGGGCTTAAAAGCGGTTTGTAGAATATATGTAAATCAATTGCAGTTTGGGGTCGCTGAGATGTATTGTGCAGGATCTATCTCGAGCTTTTAGTGCCTCTGCCCTATGCTTTGGGCTAGACTGAAGACAACTGAATATCCTGAAAAAGAATTTCACGGGGCCGCTTATCTTATTTTGGCTTCCCGTTCTGAGCCCTTACTGTGTTTCTGGCTGAGAAGGCAGAACCAGCTTGAAATGAGCACAGACAGTCCTCCAGAAAAATGCAAATTAGTTTTTCTTTTCTGGCAATTTGGAAATTGTATTGCTTCTGGACGTGTGAAGACAGCCCTCAAAGTAGTGAGTGGAGAAATGGCTCGGGGATTACTTAAACGAGTCTCTGAAAAGAATCCTAAGCCAGCAACTTCTTTCGGGGCTCTGGGCTATGATGATAAAATTCCTTATCAGTCCCGGCAGAGGTTTATAGCTTTGCTGTTAAGAAAGAAAAAAAGTAGCTGTAGGAAGCCAAGGGTGTAATTTACAACTCTATCAAAGTTACGGAAGAATCTTATGTCAATATTTAAATATCAGGATCAATACTCATATAAGGGGAAGACAAGACTGGAAAAACACACCAGTAGACTGAGAATGGGAAGGATTACAAGAGGAGTGTTATTGGCTTTGCCAGCTCTAAATAAATCTGGGTGGGAAAGTTGGCATCTCTATTGCCACCGGAAAAGCTCTTCACTTTTTCTTCTATATGTGTTGAGCACGCGCTACCCTGCACACTTTGGGGAAAATGAACCTTCCATTTAGGAGCAAGGGGTTTATAACTTTCTGTCCCTTGTCTCCAGTCTTGAAAGGTGAAGCAGAGCTCCCACCAGATAGTCAGGTGTAAACCCCCTGCCTTCTTGCTCCCTGGTTTGCTCCCTAAGCCAGAGTGCTTGGCAAGTTTCAGTGAGTAAAGACAAACACATGCAGATGAGCAAGTGCTTGCAATTGATTGCCTTTGCCTTGCTAGGGACTGTGGGGCAGAGGCTCGGATTCTTTAAGTTCAGCAAACTCACAGTCCAAGCCCATTCTTTTAAAGACTAGCAAGATGGGGTGGGGAAAAGGAGTGAGAAGGTTAAATGGAAAGAATTGAAAGGAAAAAAGAGAAATGAAAAACATTTTTGACAAAGGTTTTTAACTGGAACAAAGAAGTCATTTGATCCTGTGTGGAGCCACCTGTCCTCTCCTCAGTGTTGTCTGAGCTCAGTTTCCAGAATACGTTTTCCCACACAGTTCCTCTGGAATGGTGACACTCCCCATGCCTGATGCCCAAGACATACTGTCCCAAGCTTGGGATGGTTTTTCCCATGCCTAGCTTGTTCTGGCATTCACGTGAAGTTGGAAAACAGCCCGGTATTTTAAGGGCGTAAGTACACATGTAGTAACTCCTTAGTTATTTAATGAATGGGCAACTTTTTATCCCACAACTTCATATGTCTAATAATTTTTTGGAACTTGAGGAGAGGGTGGAATGGGGCAGGGGATGGGGCAGATGGAAGAGAGAGGATCATTTTTCATCCAAAGAGGACAGTACCACATTTCAGTAATCTAGTGCATTGTTTCACAGCAGCTAGAACAAGAATGTAGGGGGGAATGGGATGGTGGTGTTATTGGCATGGGTTTATCCCAACTTTATTTTTTTCTCTTGGGGAAAACTCAGTGTTGCATCCAGGCAGAGTGAATGTCACCCACCTGTCAATTTGTCCTCTCAGTCTAGCAGCTCTGGCTGAATTTGCAGGGTTAACTATCAGACAAACCCGTGTGTCATAAGCTTAGCAATGAAATTCAATATCTTCGCTGATGAGTGATCTGTCCCTAGGGCTGCACAAATGCTGTACAATGGTGTGGCAACCCAGAAGAGACCCCTGCCACTGATAGCCAGAAATTCTGGGTAGCCAGCAGAATTAGAATGCTGCCTGATTGGCCATAAGATTCAGAGGGGTTTGGGCTTCTGCCAGGTTGGCAGAAAAGGAATGCTGTAGAAGGACAGTATTCTTTGGGGGTTCCAAAGGCCAAGTTAAATTAAAGAAAAGTGTAAACCTGACTTGCCTTTATCAGAAAGTAATTTTAAAGTATGTACCAACCTTTCTCTGCACTCTGATCATAAATGGGCAACTTTTCTGAACCTTCCTTGAGAAGGAATTTGCTGTGTTCCCAGGCCAAAGGAAAAGCATGGCCACCTGTTCTAGAGGCCCAGCCAAAAACAACAGCTTTGCCTGTGGCATTCCCACAACTGCAAATATCCTCCCCAAATAGTGAGCCACCCATTGTCCCTACACATGAGAAGAACAAATAGCTTATTCTTGAGCCCGGGGGTGGGGGGGGGGGAGATCTGATTCTCTAGACAAAATTGTCCACCAGACATATTTTGTATTTTTAACATCATGATAACTTTAGAAAAAAAAACTCTAGAGAAGAACCTGCGTGCTCTATTTCTGATCTACTAAATCAAAATGAGTCACATAGCTGCTAAATTCTTGTGAGGCTAGGATGCTGCTGTTACAAGAAAGCTGGGAGTCCATTTGATTAGCCCATTCTGCATTCTTTAGATTGGAATTAAAATGCCCAAGGACATCTGGCTTAATAATGAAAGTCTTCATATTAATCTTTCTCCTGAGGATTAGAAAGTCCTTTACAAACATGATCTATTTATTCTCTGCCACATCGCCAGGAGAGAACGAAGTGGCAATTTGATCCTCACTGAACAAATAGTGAGGCAAAGGCAGAGAAAGGTTAAGTATAAAAAGACACAATAAGTTAGGGGCAAGTCTGGGGATGAATGCTCACCCACCCAGAAGGAATACCTGTGCAGGTCTAGGCTCTCAAATGGAAGTCTAGGGATTAAAACAGAACCTTTCTACATATCCTTTTTTCTTATCATTACTCTGTAACTGGCAAGTATGTTGTGTTCCAAGTATGTTGTATGGATTGCTTCATTTGAAAGTCAAACTTTTTAAAGTTCAAAAGGCAATTCTATTCGTATTTGTTCCAACACTGAGATCAGGCAGCCTTTATGACATCTAATAGGAAGACACAGTAACTAACCGGAATTTTAAATATGCATCTGTGAAACGTTTCCTTTCAACAGATGTTTTACGTTTTTGCACATGGTTTAGAGCTCAATGTCTTCAACATATGTTAAAATTTTAATGCCTTCCCTGTTATCTCTCTTTCAGGAAATGTTATAATCATGAGACTTGCTTTTAAAGAGCCTTGTTGGTAATTTTGAAAAAAAATAATTTTGAGTTATGATGATGTGTGTTCATAGTTTGCTTGGCTGTGGACTGCATAGTCTGTGAGCAAGTCTGTTACTTGGTAGTTGCATGCTATCCACAGACATTCCAGTAACTTTTAAGGCTAAGTGTGTATGTGGATGTCTCCTGGCTTTGATCGTTTGTGTGGTAAATAGACATTCAAGGTAGCTATGGCAACCTGGGCTATGCGTTGGTGAAAGTGGGGGATTTGGTTACTGGACAAAGAGTAATTTGTTTGATTAGAAAAAGGTGGAGAAAAATCAGGACATTTTTAACTCACATGACTTGAGGATCTCAGTTTAACCAAATCATTTGGATTTTTTTCGATCGGCAAAAAGAATTAACAGCTAACCACACCAGAATATTTTGCAGATGTAATTTAACTTCCTTTTAATCAAGTGGTTGCTATTTTACAATAGTAACTTATACAGTGAAAGGGAAATACAACATAACATGTTAACATCATCAATATCCCTTTTGTTCTTAGTGTGAATGTTTTTATTTTCAGAACTTGACGAGATTTTGAAAGAAAGACTGGGCTCTCATTGGAGGTGTGCATTTCAATTATCCACCTGCAGGGGTCAGGCTTGAAGTTTCCATGGTGGAAAGATCAGGCTGGGGATGCCACTGCAGGGAGCCCCAGGCAGAGCCAGAGAGAATTGCTCTGCTTATTTGGAACAATTAGTTAGCGATTCTTTAATCTTGTGACCAAAGCTACTATGAAAATGAGTTCATTCAAGGAAGAGAATATCAAATGCGCTGTGATTAAAGAAAGGGCAATAAAGCCAGGTCAAACAGCAATCTAATCTCCATTCAGATATGGGACGGTTTGTAGGGGAGATTCTGGCTCATTATCAACTCCTTTGATTTTACGCAAAACTCATTCAGGGTTTTTGTTCTGGAAGATTGTTTGCTTAGTTTTATGAACTGGCATGTTCTAAAAAAATTTTTTTGTAACTAAAGGACACAATATTAGGGAAACATCCAGATTCACAAGATTTTTCCCCCTCTGTAGGAAAATACATGGACACAAGATCAGGATGGTTAATGGCCTACAGAAAGGCAGGTAATATTAAAGATCTCAGAAAATTGAAGCACAGGAAAAAATGCCTAGAAGGGGCTTTCTTAAAAAGCAAAACCAAACCAAAGAACTGCTTTGTACTATGAAAGAGAGGTTCTGAATTAACACGGAAGAGGTGCTGATCATTTGTTGTATAAGTGGAGGTTGAAGGTTTCATATTCAGCCAGCTGTTTATGATGAATAAAATATAAAGGCTGTCCTTCATTTCTTGTATCATTCAATGACATTTACTGAGCACTTACAGAATTAATATATTCTGCTACATTATAAGTGATCATTATGTGCCAGGTCACTTTGGGGGCACAAGCATGATTTTGATATGATCCTCAAAGGACTTTTGATCTGGTGTACAATTTATTGTATCAGTAGCACAATGTAAGTT